CAACGACCACTGCTTGGCAGCGTCTACATCCATTTGGAGGGCGCTGGCATTGGAACTCCAGGATTTCAAGTCGTCCGCAAAAAGTAAACATGGACTCGCAAGAACGTCTGGGAGGTCTTGCGAGGTCTTGTTCCAGAGACAGCGTTAACAGCCGGCAGAAGCATCTTATTCACTTGCTACTCGAGATGATAAAAATTGGTCCCGAACAAAAATGAGCAAATTTAGCTTGCCTTGTGTTAGTTAAGTCTAAGGTAATAGACGGTTTGCCAGACCACGTACAGATGGAGCATAAATCAATAGTAGGCACCCTCGGGGATGGCGATACTCCAGGGGAAAGTGGTCAAGCACTGCGAGACGCGTCTCGTGGTCCACGTGCCTGAGGCTGGAAGCCATTTTCGTAGCAGCTCGCTGGACCCTCTCAATGAGGGTAACGTCTTTCATGCGTCCGGAGTAGACAACTTGGTTGGTGTATTCCAGGAGCGGTCTGACGTAGGCCCCATATGGTACATGGAAGTCCATGCGAGTAGTACGTGATAAGATGCACCGAATCATCCGTAAGATAGCTAATGCCTTTTCGGCCGGTTTCTCATGGTACACTGCGAAGGACAAGTTTGAGGAGAGCCAGATTTTTTCGGTCGGTTTCTCATGGTACGTTGCGAAGGACAAGTCTGGGGAGAGCCAGATACCCAAATCTTTTAGCATCTAACCTCATGATATTTTCTGGTCCTTTCTCACCACGCATGGTCGAGGAATTCGCTGAATCTCCTCCGAATGACATATGGAGGCACTCTTCGTCATACCGGGGAAGTCCAACGACCACCGCTTTGCAGCGTCCGCATCTATTTGGAGGGCACTGACATTTGAAATTCAGCGAAAATAAGGCACGGACTTGAAAGAAAATCTGGAAGGTCTGTGACACAGATAAAAGACAGCAGTGTCCGGAATCTGAACTTTGAGGAACTCCGATCGGGACCGGTCCCGGGAAATGTACGACTGGTTTCGCCCTTCTTGGGGCTCATCAGGTAAGTACGGCTCCTTATGTTCACTTGAGTTTCCCCCACGAAAAGCAAACTCCCATCACCAAATTTTGTCTTCGAAATGGTGTGCGCATTCGGTTAATTGTGAATGTGCTATTGGACAAGCATCTAAAACCCTTTCCTGACAACTCGGAAAATACCATGTTGTTCATTTGAAACCAATGTAAGTCTATTGATTTGAATGCCTTATTGGCGATCCAGAGTCTCTTCGTTGTAACTAAAGGATGCATTCGGCGTCGATTTATTGGACCTGAAGAATTCAGCTCATATGGGTTATTCTGGAGCAGACAAGTACAATTAGAATTTGGAAGTTGCTGAATTGATATCGTTTTGGCTGCAGACTCAGCTGAAGCACACTGAACCAGTCGGTATTTTGTGCTTCTCCATGCAGCGCTGACGACAACGTAGGGACGTCATCTACCTAATTAACTCAAAAAAGGCGAAACTATCCGTGGCCCCCTAAGAGTTTTCAGCAACCTTGCGAGAAGTGTTTTACGTATATGCTATGAGAAGTAAATAACTGACGAATAGTTGACTGTCACATGGGTGCAAAAAGGAGAGCCACGGAATTCAAAATGATGCTAAAATACCAGAGGTAACAACGTTTGAATTATACGATGGTTTAAATGGAAGTGATTCAACAAAATTAAATAAACCGCAGTGAAAGCTGCACTGCACTTTCTGCATCGAAAATCTACCAGTTTTATTTCACTTGAGAATTTTTCCCGTAAGTGAAGCCCTCCTGACGTGTAATTTGAATACCTAGAAGTTTAACCACACGTGGTAGATTAGCACTCCGAATAGCTCGCAGTTAGGATATAGCAACACTCATTCTTTATTTTCGGAAGCTAAATCCGACGTGCAGACTGGTTTCCCGAATGACGTAGATGTAAAATTCTTCATCATTCAAGGCTGATTCTAGCCTCGAGTAAAGGAATGTAATGCTGAGGATGAACAATAAAACCAGCATTAAGGCACAATTTGGTTCTTGAGGTTATCACCAGAAATCCGCACTATCGTAACAAAACCCGAAAAATATCGAAGCCGATATGGCGCTCTACCCAAACCTGTAAAGAATGGCACACAACTAGTGATTAGAAAGTGTCGGTTAATGCAGTAGTTCTATTTCTACTAGCTCGTTTAAGTTTGCACGTCTCTACTGGCAGCTGCAGAGTCAGAGATGTTAACCTGAAACCTTCCAAACATTCATTTTAGCAGAACAATGCAATACACGCAACGACATCTGGAGACATGTGCTCATTCTTGTGAATTAGGAATGCATTTCGGGTCACCTTAATTACTTGAAATTGACATATTGAATCAGCGTGACCTAGATGATCAATCAGCGTGGAGGCTCAGGATGTGTTTGTTGGTTTCACTTCTCACTTTATTGTCGTGACCGCAAACATCCGTCCATCCTGAATTGCTAAAATGTCCTGAAATTGTGCGTGTGGTATGCAATTCGCCCAACAGTCGTGGGTTAGTTTAAATTGAAGCAATTTGTTCTTCAAAACGCAAGTGACACTGATCGGCAGTCATTTTCACAAAGGGGCCGAGCAGTTGCTCATTTTCTTCCTATACCCGTCAGAATATTTTTATTGTTTAATTTCTGCCTACTCATAAGTAGGTTGACAGATAAAAATATCTCGACTTCCATCGTTACTCTACAGTCTTCACTCCATCGATATCTTTGTTTCTAGAACTGTAAGCATGATCGCTCGGTTTGATTTGAAGTGCTTTGTGTAAACGGGGATGAACAGGACGACGACCTCATATATTTGATGTGAGAAATTCCTACAAAAAAATTATTTATCCTAGAGGCGCAATACAGCATTTATAAGATTGCTAAAGAACATGATAAACGAGTGATTCAGCTGGTAATTTGTCAAAGCATATATGTTACATTGAGCAGAGTTTGTACCTCGCCGCCAATGAAAAAATCAAATGATTTATTCAATTTATTCAGTTTGTTCAGTCAAATTATTTATTCCAAGAGCCAGGAAGGACTTTGTCACACTTTAACCACTATGGGTCTCAGGAATTTTTAAGGTTTATGAAGGTCCATTCGTGTTTGAAAGCTTACGATTTCATGTTACCAACTTGTATTTATTTGTATCACATTGAATTGTACTGTGCTTTATCGTACTCATTCATTCAACCATCGTGACTGCCAACTGAAGTACTCAATACAAATCCCCCAACAACTGAAACAAAACAATAAACCTAAATTCCTGGCCCAGAATAATATGCTAAAGCTTCTCACTAGGCTAACAATTTGACACCAATCACAGTAGTTTGGTTTTCGGTAAAAGACAGATCGTGATGTAAGTTGACTGTAATAGCCTGAAAGTGGTTGTTTTATCTCTTCTGGAATGTAGGATCACAAGCGATATTGCCTGGAAATCAAGTCCAAGACGAAACCAAATTCCTCATGTTTCGTGCTCCCGAACTTGTCTCAACGAAACTAGTGAATGCCAAACTGCTGAGAGGTGCTGTACGGCTATTTACTCCTTGTTATGAACCATCAGTAGTGGGCATCTCACGAAGCTAAGAGAGTTTCGAACCAGACCAGCGATTGAACACTTAATCGTTCTGCAACCAACAGCTGAACGGGAGATTAATTAACTCACACTCAGACGAGATATCTTGCTACTCATCCACATCACTTGCTCCCATACTGAGAGACTCCTCCATTGAATAGTTTTCAAAAGCTTCTTCCCACTAAGGGGGAAACAGCTGTACAGTGCGTCTTGGCCTTTCGTCATCGCTTGACTTCACTGACAGGACGAAATGTCAACCGAAAAACCAATGCTCTTGAATTCGTCAAAAGTGTGTGCTATAAACAACATATCTCATATTTCACAAGGAACATAATCAGGTCACGATTTTCAGAAGATTTTGCGAGTGGCACCTGGTGTTCACGTTTCCGTTCTACTTTCTGTTGTTTGCCCATTTTTTTCGCACAGACCATCACTTGTTTCCGGCGCTGGTCTAGACAGTCCAGACAGAGGCGGCTTATTTGTTTACGCCACACGAACCAACGCTGGAGGACCAAAGTTAGACTGCCGCATTTGGCTTCATCTATGGCTCACAAACATCACTCAGCCCACGTCATTGTGGTCACCGCGTAGGGGCCACATGATGAAATTCACCTTGAACAGCCGAACGAATCTACGTGTCCCTGAATGGCGATCGATCGGTAACCTGACGAGCTACGATAAACAATGTAACAGCGCCGCGCATTCCAACACTGCGGTAATTATAGCACGTTGGAAGCGTCGCGCGTACGTCGGTTCCGGGCTTAAAAACTATTCAAAGACCACACAGATACAATCCGGTATTGACGAAGATAAAAGGGACGCATATAGGGCTACTGAGCCCTTAACGTTTACATCACCAAGAAACTTTGAATGATTGAAGCGGAGCGTCAAACATTCATCCAGAAACGATGCACGCTTGTTCACTTGCCACTGTGTGGATTTTTACTCTAGTCTTCCAGACAGTGTCTGTCCAAGCAGTTCCAAGTTTTCAAAAGGTGGATCACAATGCACCAAGAACTCTCAGTCTGAAGGAGTCGATGGTATGTTTTTGGTTCATTTGGACGTTTTAGAAAGATTGAAAACACCTTTGCCGTTTTCGATCACCCAGTCGTTAGCTCATTCTTCGGATTATTGTTTTTGTAGCATTCTGTACAGACGCGGCTTCGTCTGGGAGTTCGGCTTTTTGGTATTTTAGTTGGTGTGCGAACAAGACAACCGATGAGCGAAGCCGAACGAATTAGTTATAGACTACTTCCGGTTTTCGTCTTTTAGTGCGAGACCCCAGTAGCAAGATTTAGGACTTTTGATGACCGAACGGATTATTGCAGGCAAGGAGGGGTTTCATTTTACACTGTTGGATAAATTCTGTTAGAGATTTCGAGGTCATCAGGTCGCTGATGAGGTCACATAAAACTGATTTTCTAACATATGTGGTGACAGGACTCAAGGTTTCCTTGTTGAAGCGAAACTCTAAACTTAGAGGGTCAACTAGAATCACATCAGCCTACAAAACCAACATCTGGCAACCGCAATCCAAAAGCGACGGGAAAAGGGCCAAATTTAAAGCACCTTTAGGTGATGGACTGCACACAATGTTGGGCAAACTTTCCAATACTAATCATTTTGAGTTCTCGAGAAATACACTCAGTTGCAAGTCTATTTGGTCTTCACCGGAGACTCAGCTGAATCTCTCGTTTATGGTATTCTACAACTGAATGTGCTGCACACAGGCCGCGTCATGTTTCAGTTGGCACGATATTCGATATATCGCAGTATATTTTCATAAAGGAAACTACTCACAAGGTTGCTGAAAACTCTTCGACAACCCACGACCGGTTTCGCCCTACTTGGGACTCATCACGTAGGCGCAGTTCCCAAGTTTCCGTCAATCTTATATTTTATTTGGACTGTACCTACCTGATGAGCCCGAAACAGAAGGGCCAAACCGGTCGTGGGCTGTCGACGGATTTTCAGGAACCTTGTGAGTAGTTTCTATTTTGAGTTCTGTTTTTGTTGTATCAAGAGTGTAAATCTATACCGGAAGAGTTTTGCGGTTGCAAGAAATCAGCCGAAAAAGGCCATTTTTATACAAAAAATCAGTTGCTTTAGCCAATCGGAGCGCTGTGATGCTCACATCTTTCTGTTACAGGATGATGTAAGTTGTGATAAGTGTAATTTCCACGTTCTATTTGGTTGCTCTTTTATCTACGCACACAAACAAAACAGTCGTTTGCTCACAAGTGGCCAAAATGTGTCAAAATGATTCATAAAATGTGGGTAATGAGACGATTTTAAATTCCACTGATGATCAACCACCTTTTTTTCTTAATGTTATTGATACGCGTAGGTACAGGTGCCATAAAATACGTTGTGGATTTTCAACAACGAATGACTTCATTTGACAGAATTTTGTCTATTTGTATCGCGCTCCACAAAAGAAACTCGGGATTTAGGTTGGTGGCACAGCATTTAAAAGCCTTCTTGTGATGAGGATAGCCAACATACAAGACTGCCTTCGAACAGATCTCAAAGTACTGTTCAGCGGCTCTTGAGCATTTAAGTGTACCTGTAGTAAAGACCCTGCCAACGATTGAAAGTGCATTTTTTCTACAACATCCAGACCACTTTAATGTGGGTGAAGCACTTTGTGGGTCCTGGAAAGTCGCTAGTTCAATTTGACGAGCTCTATTCCATTTCCAGATTGGCCTGTCACATCGAACGATGGGCCGATGAGCCTGTATGCAAAGTTGGTATAGTCATATGCGTTTTGCACCCTGTCGCCCTGTAGAAGCTCCTAGATGGCTTGTACTCGGTGTAAACCTGAGGGAATAGGACCAGAGAATGGATAGGTGAGGACTGCTCTAAAGTTATCGCCATGTCTGATCAATCAATTACCAGGCGCGGATAACTGATCAGCTGTTACTTACACCGTCCTTGAAATGTGGTCTCCTGGTCGGCACCACTCATGAGATACATCCAGGCAGGCACATTCGACTACCTCGTATCTGGTCTGTACAACGATGGTCGTAGAGAGTCGTCTCCAGCACCGCTGTGTAGGCTTGGCATTCCGTGTAATCAACAACGTAAGCCACGTCGGGTGGATAGGTATATATGGCATACACAGGTTTCTGCACATGTCAATAAAAAAAACCGAAAAACAAAACAGTAAGCAGTACAAGGCATTGCAGTGTGATAAGACGCAGTGTAAAATAACACAACGCAATGGCATAGAATTCAACCTCGTGTAAAAATTGTGACTCAATGCAAATTGAGTGTCTGCTGTAGCACCATTTCGGTGCCTGCCTGCCATGCCACCCGAAGGTTGCACGAGGGCTGGGATACTGCCAGGTCGCCCAAGCCTAGACAGGGGAAGTCGAGAGTCAGAGATCGGGTTTCGAACCACGGACCTTCCGGACAGTAAATTCGCGATCTAGCCACTGATCTCGCTCGATATGTATATATATGTTTAGAATAATAATCATTTTACACCGATGTCCTGAATAGTTTTCAACAACGTGCAGGTCACTAGTTGTGGCTTTTAGCTAAATTTAGAGATAAATGGAGATGCACTCAGGGGCAAAACCCAAAAGTAAAAGGGAACGAGCACAATTCAGCCAATCAAACAACCGAAGCGTTCGCGATGAGACGACTGGAGAAGGCGCTTGACAGGTTGCGCCGTATTATCATTAACAGACAAACACTGAATTTATTTCTTTGCTATCTTTCATTTGTTGGTATTGAAATAATAGGATATGTGAGCATGTCACTTCTTGGGACTTTGTTTTTCAAGGCATTGATTCGCTTGTTCAAGCCATTCTTGCATGTGTGCGAAATGTTAGCGTAATTCTCACCAACCTGGCAAACTGAAGCCAGACCAAGTACTTTACTGCTCAAAAGTGTCCAGTCCTGAAGGGAGTCGAATGCTCCCTTACTCATTGTGTTTTCTTTTCTAAAAAAAACAACACTAGAATCGACTAAAGCTCTGGCTGACATTAACTTATTTTGTGAGTAAGTCAGAGGCACAACAGAACGTATTAAGTTACTCTGGAGACAACATGATTTACGTTAAAAATGTCGGTGTGGCTTGAGCCTCCATCAGTCCTATATCTTTGTAATGTACTACTCATAAGGTTGCTGAAAATCCGTCGACAGTCCACGACCAGTTTCGCCCTTTTTGGGGCTCATCAGGCAGGCGCAGTCCCCGGGTTTCCGCCAACCTAATGTTCTACTTGAAACCAAATTGCACGAAATTAGCTAAATACACCCGTTTGCAAACTAATTCGCTTTTTCGAGAGACTCACCTGGAACCTAGCTGAATCTCTCGTTTGTTTGGCAACAAGTGCATGCCGAGGTTTCATCTAGAAATCGGGTGTGCTACAATGTCCACCGACTTGTGTAAAGTACCATACTGTTTTTATCAAAATCTGTTGCGACAATAGGCCTTTTTAATCTCGGTCTGTGTTTCCGCCCATTTCAGTATTTGCTAGATCGATACGGTTATGTAAATCCGGGAGGCAGTCCACAGACCGGGAACAAAGATCCTAAGAATCCAGCAGTTATAGATGTCCATGTCGATGACTCGGCCCTTACAATGCCTCCACCTGAGTACACTCTGGCAGTCCGACGATTCCAAAGGCAGTACAGTCTACCAGTCACTGGACAAATGGATGAAGCCACTAGTCGATTGCTTACAGCACCCAGATGCGGTAATCCAGACGACGTGAAGGACGCTGTTCAGGGCGAGGTCGAGGAATCTCAGACGTCGTCGAGAGTGTTCACTGTTTCTGGAGGCCTGAGAAGTGTTGGTCGCGTACTGCGCCGTATAAAACGATATTTGATCGGTGATGAGAAGATGAAATGGGCAAAGAAGAAACTAACGTGGCAGTGAGTTTATTGATTTATTTCTCACCTTTGTTTGCGTGACGTCGTATTCATTTGAGCGTCAGTAAATTCGCCTCTGGCTTTTGTGCCACGAGAGAGCACTGTTTAGGCTGATGCGAAAATACGCTAATTTAACCATTACGCTGTTTATGAATCCTGTAGGACGATAATGTTGAAAATTTTCAGACCATATGGGATTAGCTGTGGGATTCAGAAAGGAACTAAGAGAAAGACGTGGAAATATTTGCAATCCGTGTGCGTCCACCTTGGTTGAATACTTCACTGTTCATCAAGCTTGACTAATCCATGGACACAACATACTACTCAGAAGGTTGCTGAAAACTGTCCGATAGCAAACCGTCGGTTTTGACCTTCTTGGGAATCAGCGGGTAAACGCATTTCCTGAGTTTACATCAATCTGAAAACCAAGTTTTACCCAAATGGTGAAGCCCTTGGAAAAGAACATACTGGTGTTTACAAGGCTTGGCTGAATTTCTTCTCTATGATATTTTTCAACTGAACGCGCCCACCGGCATCATGTTCGAGCTGACAGGTCGAACGTTTCAGATAACTTCTGAAAACCCTTCGACTGAATATTCATCTTAAAAAATTCATGTTCTGTGGATTGGAGTTTAAACACAGCTGCACCGGTTTGACCCAATTCCGTTGAACAAACACCTGGAGAATAAGTTTCATCCAGAACGACGGTGTTTTGTGGTGACAAAGATCAGCGTTTCTAAAAAAACGTTCTCCTAAAACATATTTTCCTCAAGAAAGAATCTCTCGTCGGACCTGAACGACCTGGTAGTTTAGGAATCCAGTACGTCGGTGATTTTGTGAGAGCGTTTTTGGGTTCATTGGCATCGTTTGTTGAAAAGTACATTATCTGTATTCATGTTTTCACTCACTTGCTTCGTATTCGAGCCCTCATTTCTGGAACCGTCTTACCACAGATGATAGACTGAAGTGACGCCGGAGCAATTCTCACCGATGTTGCAGATGGTTCATCTTATCGAAGCGATTTGACGCTACTTTTGATTCTTCCCACTGCCTTGCAGTTCATCAGAGAAGTACCAGCATCCATATCGTAACAGCGAACCCTAATTTATGATGATGATGACGATGATGATGATGATGACGCTGACAATGTTGATGATGATGATGATGATGATGATGTTGATGATGACGATGATGAGGATGATGATGATGATGATAAGGAGGAGGAGGAGAATGAGGATGAGGATGATGAAGAGAATAATGATAATGACGATGATGATGCTGATGATGTTGATGATGACGATGATGATGATGATGATGATGATGATGATGATGATGATGATG